ATAGTTTGACCCATACCATGATGCCTAAATGCAGCAAAAATGACGAGCTGGAAGAAGTCACTTTGGCTGCTCAACGGTGTCGATATTGCACGTATTCATACGGCAGATCTTCCTTACTTTCCGTATAGAGAATTAATTCGCGGATTCTCATGTCACGGCACATACTTGACTTATCTACGGCCTCAAAGTTTCCTCCTATTGTCCTAAGATACAACACTCCAAGCTGGACTTTAGTGAACCAATTCTGCTCGAATACTGTTTCAAACAGAGCAACATAGGTAGCACGTCTGCATCTCACTATCGCTTACCCATTCCTTCATGCATTCCAGTAACTCATTTCCATCAAAATCTGGGAATGCGCTTCGCTCTGCTGTTTTCCTCATCCGAGCCATATTGAGTTCTGGACGAAATAGCCTAATGTGATTGTCATCACCACGATAAGCTTTCATGCCTTCGAATAATTCAGATGCATAGTGGAAAACCTAGGAAATTGGCAGCCACTAATGTACTTGCCCTCTTTTCGAGTAGGGGACTATGCGTCGCCGAAACTGCCGGACATCTGGCACAAGTACACATCCCATTACATGCACTGGCTGGATATCTACTGCATGGTCCGCGCGGGACCCTCCAATTTTCGGCGACATAGAGTCCTCTACCCAGAATATTCTAATCTAGCAATCGAAGAGCAACAAACATTGCAAGCTGGATCCAGTGAAAAATTCTGGTAAGGATGGATAATTGGTTTTCCCCAACCTTTCTCCTCTTCATAGTCCACTTCTAACATGTGATCTGTGTACACCTCTACGAAACCAAGCGGTTCATCCTATAGTAAACAACTTTGACGCTTGAAGCTTTGAGAGCAGTGCTTTGACTAGATATACCTGCTTTGGTAGAGGCTTTCGTGAATTCGGTGGGGCTTGCTTAATGATAAGATCTTTCCGATAGAATGTTTTTACATGAACAGCAATTGACGTGCTGCAAGAGGCTCTTGTTCTTTAAAATGCTGTAGAATTTCCGATAAAAGCCTCAAGAAACAGGAAGGTTGGTTATGACAAGGTCATCGTACCTAAATTGACAAAAGTTTATCCATGATGCGGCACATTGCGGAAGGCGTCGAATAAAGTAGAGCATACGGCCCTAAAGTATCACTATCAGAACTTTATGTGAACCTTCAAACCATTCCGTTGCTGGAAGGAGTTCTGATTTTTGCATCTGCTAGACTT